TGAGGAAGGACAGAGCAAGCGACTGTGCTGTGGCCCTCGGGTGGGCACCTGAAGGAAGGAGGAAGAGAGGACGCCCAAAAACAACTTGGAGGCGAATGGTGGAAGAGGAGAGAAACCGAGCAGGCTGGAACTCGTGGAACATAGCACGGCAGGCAGCTGCAAACCGGACCCAGTGGAGGAGTGACGTCCAAGCCTTGTGCGCCTTATGGCGCGGAGAGAACTGAACTGAACTGAACTACTAATATTCTTGGTCAATGTCGATGACGCTACAATACAGCATCAACTTGCATATCATCAATTGCAATCACAGTCAAAATATTATAAGAAACTCGAGTGTTTCTTATAATATCTATAACTCTTCCAAAATAAATTTGAAAATTTACCATAGCTTCGGAAACATAAATCAGTCAAATAATAATTAAGTTCATTTGAATGACCTGGGAAAGTAAAGTTAAATGAATGGGGCACATATAATTAGAAATAGATAGATCGTTTAACTTTTTGTATAAACCAGGGCTCGCGCTATTTCATTCACATAAAACGACAACAAAGATGATCTATTCAATGTAAAAACATCACAAAGACTTAGTTCCAGTTTTAAACTAGAAGACAAAAGATCTTGCATCACTAATAAACCAATGAAGACAAAAGTCGGAACCCATGAGAGATGTGGCGTGGTAAGCCATCGCGATGAGTTATTTCTCCAAAACAAATCCTAGAATTAAAGTTATCGATATTGCAATTAATTGGCGCCCAATCGGCTCTAAATTAACAAATTTTGAAATACAAGGGGAAGAGGTTCTCAAGCGCCTGGTCGCTCTAAACCCCAACAAGTCATGTGGATCGGACAGCTTCCACCCCAGATTACTCAAAGAGTTAGCAACAGTCCTAGCCGGCCCTTTGACGTAATTTTTTCGAAAGACTTTGAATGAAGGGATCTAGCCGGCTGACTAGAAAGTGAGGGAACCTGTTATGTGGGATCGATAATTTGACTGCTAATAATCTCCTATCAGACTGTCAACATGGCTTTATTGCCGGCAGATATTGCACCACTAACCTCTTGTTCTTGACTACTCTGAATGAATGAACCCGCCTGCTGGACGATTGGGAGCCAGTACTATAGATGCAGTGTTCCTCGATTTTGCCAAGGCATTTGACAGCGCCCCACAAGAGCAGCTTTTGCGTAAATTGAAGTCTTTGGGAACTGAGAGCAATGTACTCAAACGGATCAGAGATTTTCTAGTAGGGAAACGACAACGTGTCAGTATTAAATGGGACCGTATCAGACTGGTCTTCGGTGCTCAGCGGCGTGCCACAAGGAAGCGTTCTCGGCCCTGCTTTATTAACACAACATAGTGATATAGGCGCTAAAGGATGGGCCTGATACGGCATGTCGCCGATTCTTGAACTTTACGTGACTTATTCACAGAAGATCTAAAATCGTGTTATTTGACCGGATCTTTTCACGACTGACGATAGTTTGAAATAGCTACTAGCCTTCCACCGGGTTCGATAAGGTGCTAGGCATTTCAAGTCAGAACATATATTTCTCCACAGCTTTATCTAGTCTGTTCTTGAACGCGTTCATACTCGGAGCGCCAACGATGTAATCAGGGAGGCTGTTCCACATGTCGGTGATTCGAAGCGGGAAGAAATGCATGTTGTCGCGTGGAACAAGTTGCAGCGCAGTTTTTTTAGTTTATAGCCGTGGCCCCTGGTGTTGGTTCCTGTTTCAAATTCTAGTAATCCTTCGGGGACCTTGTATAAACTATGAGTATGCTTGTATACTTCAATGAGGTCCCCACGTAGACGTCGATAACTGAGGCATAACATAACATAGTGATGTCGGCGCTGAAGTGTAGGCCTGATGTGGCCTGTCGCCGATTCTTTTCCTTTTCGTGCCTTGTTCATAGATCTAAACTCGTGCCATTTGACCGGATCTTTTCATGACTGACGATAGTTTGAAGTAGCTACTTTCCAGCAGCTATCTCAATCAATCGTCAGCTATGGAAAGATCGGGTTACAAATGCCGGATCCCTTGTGAATCAAGTCACGAAAAGTTCAAGAATCGGCAACAGGCCATGGGCCTATTTCTTCAACGCCGACACTTCTATTCTATTGCTCTCCCGGAGAAGCCTCTGAAAAGCCCTCACCTTTACCCTCGCTCTCGATACCCTTGGATGCCCTCAGCCGAGACGCGATTGTAGCCTTAAGACAACGATGGATTTGCACCCAACTGCATGCATCACGACACCCACACACATCAACTTGTACACAGCCAGCAACAAAGTATAAGATAAAATAGTTTTCAGAAGAGATAAGACCGCGATAAACCGACGTCCGTACGCCGCGGCGACCGCAGTGGCACTGATGAATGAAACGACCGCCCGAGTAGCGCCACCACCAGCATCCTGTGCCGACTACACCTGCGCTCCTAGGCTGCCATAACTGCATGACTAATTCCCTAGAAATATTGATCCTATAGTGCACGTCTATCCATAATCTGTATTGCAATAGAATGAATGATATATCATAATGGTATGTATGATGAAGAATCAGCAACAGGCCATGGGCCTATTTCTTCAGTGCCGACATTTCTAATCTATTCTTCACTGCAGTCTATTTCCTGGATATCATTAACTTGATAACCACAAATTGCAATCAACACTGAGCTCATAATCTAATAAATTCGTTTCAAAATATGACTCTAGCCCTCAATACTTCGAACACAATATTTATTCTTCATCTAAAAACACGGAAAGTTTCATGGAAAATTTGAAACTGAATCCCATCAAAGTGGATGTGGTTCAATCGATGGTTAATTCTGTCTGTTCATGGAAATAGCGCTAAAGTTTTCCCGTTTGAAACGTGAAACTCGCAGTCGTTCTCTGAACGTCGCATGGCAACACGATAGCGGCTTTCAATCTTTCGGTATCTTGTAAGTGAATTATAGGCATCGTCAACGGTCAACATCACCTTCTCTGTCCATCAACACCAATATGATCTAATAATCAACAAAAGGTTAATATGCACGTTAAATAAGGATTAATATAAATTTAAAAGTAAAGAATGGTCGAAAAAAATTCACATCGTTATAGAAAACGTTTCGGAGTCCAGCTTCAACGTCAGTTCAAAAACAAAAAGTACAAACAATTAGTGACCTAAAATTCACGAGGCAAATAATTCATTCATTGACATGAATTTTAAGTTACTAATTGTTTGTACTTGTGTTCTAGGATTTTGAACCGACGATGGAGCAGGACTCCAAAACGTTTTCTATAAAGATATGTATTTTTGTCGACTATTCTTTGCTTTTAAATGTTTATTAAACTTGTGATTTAAGCAAACATGTGATATCAAGGATTAATATGTCGAGGCAGGTCAGTCAAATGACTATGTACGCAAAGGTTACGGGTGAAGCTTAATCATCAGCACGGCTTGTAGCTGACATCATTCATTCCTTGATTATCAGACAGCCAAGTCAGCAACAAACTGCGCCGATCGCCGCTTAACTTGAAATAAATAATTGCTTCAATAAACAAGATGGCGCTTATTATTATTAATAAATAATTGCGTCAATAAACAAGATGAAGCTTATCATTATTAATAAATAATTGCGTCAATAAACAAGATGGCGCTTATTATTATTAATAAATAATTGCGTCAATAAACAAGATGGCGCTTATCATTATTAATAAATAATTGCGTCAATAAACAAGATGGCGCTTATTATTATTAATAAATAATTGCGTCAATAAACAAGATGGCGCTTATCATTATTAGTAAATAATTGCGTCAATAAACAAGATGCACTTATTATCATTAATAAATAATTGCGTCAATAAACAAGATGGCGCTTATCATTATTAGTAAATAATTGCGTCAATAAACAAGATGGAGCTTATCANAAGATTGACCTGGCAAGTGAGGCATGGCAAAGATTGACCTGGCAAGTGAGGCATGGCAAAGATTGACCTGGCAAGTGAGGCATGGCAAAGATTGACCTGGCAAGTGAGGCATGGCAAAGATTGACCTGGCAAGTGAGGCATGGCAAAGATTGACCTGGCAAGTGAGGCATGGCAAAGATTGACCTGGCAAGTGAGGCATGGCAAAGATTGACCTGGCAAGTGAGGCATGGCAAAGATTGACCTGGCAAGTGAGGCATGGCAAAGATTGACCTGGCAAGTGAGGCATGGCAAAGATTGACCTGGCAAGTGAGGCATGGCAAAGATTGACCTGGCAAGTGAGGCATGGCAAAGATTGACCTGGCAAGTGAGGCATGGCAAAGATTGACCTGGCAAGTGAGGCATGGCAAAGATTGACCTGGCAAGTGAGGCATGGCAAAGATTGACCTGACAAGTGAGGCAGGGCAAAGATTGACCTGGCAAGTGAGGCATGGCAAAGATTGACCAGGCAAGTGAAGCATTGCAAAGATTGACCTGACAAGTGAGGCAGGTTAAGGTTTGACCTGACAAGTGAGGCAGGTTAAGGTTTGACCTGGCAAGTGAGGCAGGTTAAGGTTTGACCTGGCAAGTGAGGCAGGACGAGGGCAGAGGCA